GTTTGCGATCATTGGCTGATCATTTGACTTTGAGATTTCATTTCCCACCAGGAAAATTCTTGGCTTTGATTTGCTGATGTGTACTTTAGTGTGCTGTTTTTGACATTTTTATGATGTATAAATAAACGAGAGTTGTGTGCTTGATTGTATTGTGCTTGCTGGGTGTTTGTATAATATACTTTCTACGCTTATCAATACTTCTCTTTTGCAGTTTTGGGATCGAGTTAGCCTACCTGGACGCTGGTTCATTGTCTCGTTCTCGTTTATCGACTAAGTTGAACTCGTAGCAGCTTCAAGCGTACCTAATGACGAACTTACAACCGAACAGCTGGTGACGGGGATAGTATCATAGCACAATGAAATATCGTGTCAAAATATAATAATAATTGCAGCTATTCTATTCGATTAGTTTCCTTGAACTATAGAGATTCAATATACTCATTTATGCCTAATAAATAAAATGAAGAAATAATATTTTTTTATGCTCATATTTATTCACCTATTTTTCGGTGTTGGTAATCAACAATTATGATAACTCACTGCCACTGTTAATACTCTTGTAAGACTGAATCGCTGCCTTCAAAGAAGGAAAAGCATAATTCCTTATAATAATAATAATAATAATAATAATATTATTATTATTATTATTATTATTATTATGAACAAGAGAAATTAAACTATGAAACATTATTTAGGCTCAGATATTTTAACGAAGAAGCTATTGAGTTTTCAAAAGTATTTATTAGGTAATTCAATAATGAAGGCGCCTTATTAATCAACCTTTATCAAACAGTGAAATTCCACTGTCATAATGAAATTTTACATAGTACTAAGCCTAATATTGTTGGGGATGTAAGATCCTTCGGGTGCACTCGATAAACGTCCTAAATTTGGATTTTATGCTTCGACACATGGGCTGGTCAGTTAACCTTGAGATTGCATTTCCCACCTGACAGTTAACGGTTGATTTGTTATTTTAGTACTCTATTTTTATGGCTATCCCAAGGACGTTTGTGTCATTTATAAATAAACTCGATTTATGTGCCTGTCAACCTCATATTTTCTGAGCGTTTTTAGAATACGGTTTCTACGTCTTGTCAAGACTGCTTCCTCTACTTAGTGGGGCCTTGCGACGCTTGGATTAGAGTAGCCTGTCGTGTCACTGCATCATTTATCTTCATTCTCGTTTAGCAACTAAGGTGAACTAGTAATAGTATCAAGCATATCAACTGATGAGCACAACAAATCCCATCGAACTGATATCGATTTTTGTTCTTCCCATTTTATTAAGAAGAACAAATATTCTCTAGCGATTATCACACAGGAATCAGTTTAACTGATATCGTGTTTAAAATATTAGTCCTAGCAATTATCTGACGCCTAACTTAGAATGATGAGAAGCGAAATCGAGCTGTTTTGTAACCTAGATGTGAATATGTAGATCAAATATTCACACGATGACAGGTTTTGGAACGCAGCTATGTCTCCCACATCCGACTATAGTTGCATTTGTTATTCTTGAGTTAGCCTTCCTCCGAACTCTATTAATTTAATCAGAGCCTATTGGGAGTTGTCATAAGAATTGTAAATCTGATGTTGTGTTCTTCAGGGTTGCCGAGTTCCACCAATTTTATTTAGCTTTTTCACTGGTGTCTTTCAAGAAATAACATCTTCGACTAACTTATCAGAGATCGATCTCCGACCAGTATCCAACGTCATGTGTCTCCAAAGTTTCGTCCACTGAGTGAACTAAGTGTTTTTCAATTGTTTCAATGTTGTGTGAATAGCCTCAGCAAATTGTGAATTCCTTGTTGTAATGTCTATGCCTAATATAGAATATATATATGTATAGTCCATAACACTTATTTATGCCTGATAAAAGAGAACAGAAATGATTTTCACCTTAGGTTTGGGAGTTTTTCATGATTCATAAATCCTTGAAGCGATCGACATTTCACCGTTCAGGTCCATCGTCGCGAACAAATCTCACAAAAGACATCAGCAAAATGTTTACGGAAGTGATAACATGAGGCTGTGGCAACAATCAAACTGACCGACTAACAGTCTTCCTGTTTCGATCGACACTCAGTAAAAAGTATCACTGTTCTGCAGTAATTACACAATTTCACAGCTTCATACCATGGATCTTAATTATATCATCGAAAATATATTCAATCTATTTGTTAAGCATTCTATGCAAGATATTTACAAACTGATGATGATGTATTAAAGCAGCTCAGTCAGTCAGTGAGTTACAACGTAGAGATTCGTACGTAAGTACATACCCCATCAGCACAGAGACATAACTGTCAGTTCAAATCCCATTGGGGTAGAGATAGTAGAATTAATACTGGTAATGGAGAAGATTAGGGTTCGAAGATATTATTCAAGAAGTATAGTTCAGTGAGATAATTTTAGAAAGAGAAAGAAAGAGTTGATGAGGAATTCTGAAGATTAGAATTTGTTTAGCAGCTCGACTATACATATAATGCCACTACACGTTAAGTAGTCTTTTAATTTTGTCATACACTCATACATTCCTTCACAAATAGGACGTTAATCTCCACAACCCGTATATCTATCATCGGTTATACCACACCCGTATTTTGCAGGTGCGTGACAACCTTCACAGTATATGTACAGACAGAAGGATGCGTTTGAATAAACACGACCACTTGATAGTTGTAGTATTCATTTTTAAATGGAGTACTGTTTATCTAATCCAGTTTAGGTTTGCTTTACAAATTAACCGCCATTTTTTATGAGAATTCATCGCTGTTAATAAAAGCAGTGGGTTTCAAAATAGAAGTTACTCAAGAGCAAATGATTGTTACTTGGTTACATGGTTTGTGGAAGTTTATCGCGTTTGTAGTTAGATCTCACCGTGAACTGATATCGGCTAACGAGTAATTCAAAACCAGAAAGAAGTATTCAGTAATGTCTTAGTTTAGGACTCTTCATCAGATGGTATATAATACCTTACATGGTGATAAAATCACACTTTTCAAAAAACTTACTAGGCTAATAGAAATCATAACTTTTTCACTGGAGGTAAGGATAGATATGCATGCCAGAGACAATAAATTATAATGTTTAACATTGTTAGAGTGGAGACATCACAAATCGCATTATATGATTATCTCTTTCTATGTATTTCGAATCGACGAAATTTCAAAATATATCATATTTATTTTCGGTTCAGTAATCTGAATGCATCATCATCTTAACATCGTGGATGTGATACTTTCTGTCCCGAATGGGATAGTGGGTTCACTTTACTGAGGAGTGACAAACTATAAGAAAGCGTTTGACCAACATATTCTTAGTTTTGTTAGCAAGGCCGATAGGTACGAATAACTGGTCCTAGTAGCTACTTCGCTACTCGATTGATCGAATTCCATCATCATTAAAGAAACAGTTAAACATGTCATTAGTTAGTGATGGTGGAGTTTCGTTCTCTGGGCTGGATGTTTTGGTTGTACAGTTCACCATAATCATCCACTTGAGCTATAAATTTCCTCCACCGTTAGGTAGTATTAAGTAATCCTACCTTTAATTTTTTCGCAAACCATCTATCCTAAAAGTATAAATAATAAAGCAAATTAAAGGAACTCGTGTGATCATTGAACAAAGGACACCCGAGTGAGCAACGCTGTTATTAGGAAACGGGTGCTAGGTAAGAATGGCAAATCAATAGATGAAGCATTGAAACTTCATGAGTTGAGGTGGTTGAGACATGTGTTGCGTATGCCTAACCACCGACTGCCTCGACGAGCTTTGTTCTGTGATGTAGGAGTAGGTTGGAATAAAGTTAGGGGCGGCCAGACCAAAACATGGCACAAATACATGAAGTCATTGACAAGTGGACTTAGCCATGTTAGTAGATGTAGACTACCTGGTTGGGGTCCGCGAGATGATAATAATCGATAGTTAGAGACCTTGAACGACATGGCTCGAAATCGTTTGCAGTGGCGCAGGTGGATTCATTAATTGTGTTCTCTCAAATCCTAATCTTCTAGATTCTTCAACACGTCTAGTTTTGTCTTTCTAAACTTTTCTCACTGAATCATACTTCTTGAATTATATCTTCTAATCTTAACCTCTCCAATTACTTCTTATACCTTTACTACCTCTACTACTATTGGATTTGAATTGACAATTACATCTCTGTGCTGATGTGGTATGGCAACATGAACTAATGTACGTACTTACGAAGTTCTACGTTGCATCTGACTGACTGACTGATCATTGAACAAATTTGGAAAAAATAGTACGAAAATTCCACAAATTATAGAAGAGAGTCACTTTAAAATGCTCAGTTTTCATACTTTATTTACTAGATAATAAAAGTTTAATCTAAGTCAAAAAACTATGATATTCATAGGAAAATTATCAAAAATTAGAAAATTTGTGAAACTGATTCTATATATTGATAAAAGCATTATGAAATAATTTTTAACCTATACACATTCCAGTGATAACGTTGAATTCCAATGAAAAATGATGCGTAATGAGTCTAATCATTGTGCAATTTTGTTAAATGCTTAATTTATTTTAACTATTTTCCATTAACATTTATTATTCTCTGGGTTAGAGGTGTAAGATTTGAATCATCATATTAAAAACTGTGTTATATAAAACGTGAATGTAGATACACGTAACTGTTACACAATATACGGTTTGATGATATTCAGAAGATTTTATCGAACAAGTCGTCATAACTCTTTCTTATCAAATGAATATAATAAATTTCGAAATTCATTCAAAATCTTATAAATGAAATTAACGATAAGTTTATTTTACACACACAAAATGGTCTAAAATCGACTTTTCTCCCACCACATTTATTTTTTAAATGAGCGTTTGATAGACACACAGATAACATCATCAATTAATTTCAAGGGGCTCTATATAACGAACCAATGAAATGAACTGTAAAACTAAGTATAAATTTGGACATGAAGCCTGCTACCTACGCACTATTGAATTAGATAATATTTCTGCAAGTTTGAAGTCTGCCCATTTCATTTGATTTCTTTTTTGAGAACACTTTTGAAGTGAAGATTTTGTGCTTTGTTTATAAAAATATGGTGAGTTTTGATTTTCATATTGTTTGTGTAACGTGAATTTGAATATTTTGAATAATCTGATTATATTGGGTGTGACCACTTGACTATGACTATCATTAATAAGCTTTAGTTATTATTTTCCAGTGCCCGTGGAAATTTTTTAAGATGGTTAGACTAGGAAGTTAATTTTCTTTGTAGAAATTCATTTTGACATTAGGTAGTTAGTTATTTCAGTGCTGGAAGTTTCTAGTTAACAGAAAATACTGATTAGTTTTATTAAATGTAATATTTGTATGTTGGACATCCAAATTTATAACATCAGATTGGCTTTTGATTCACTTGACTCATTTTGGGAAAATTATTCAAATATCAGACTTGCTTAGAGCTCCAAGTTGATATTAAAAATTCGAATTAATAGGTCTCATCTGGCATAGATGCAAATTGACTTGATATGGGCACTAAATGATAAGCATCTGTAAGCAAAGTTTGATTGTAGCCAGCAGTGGAATCTGATAGAAAGGGTTTCATTTTATTCTGAATTTATCGGTTGAATGCAATGTGTCTCAGTGTTGATATTCACATTGAGGCTCGAACTCGATACTTTTCACTTCAAATACTCAGCGAATTACTTACGTAGCTACTGAATTCGGATATCCACTAGCCTCTATGACGGGGCTAATTTTAATTTATTTGGATATAGTTTTGACTAACTGTAAAGGCTAAACCGTATTTATTAATGAAATTTCAGCCATAAACTCTCAAAATTAGCATTACCTTTTGTAAAGCGTTCAACTCTGTACCTCCATTTACCATCTTTCTAGAATGAGATCAGTATTCAATTGAATGATCAAGCTAACAGATTCATCTCCGAAAGTGGTTTTGTTCCATTCTACCATACATTAACTCCTGGATCGTCCAGCCTATCCAAGTATGGTACCCTTATCCCAAACCGCATATTTGTCGGAGGAATACCATCAAATGTAGGTTTCAGTTATACTTTTCATTTAGTTTTTAGACAAATGAGCAAGAACTTAAATCTTTCTTTTCAAGCTTTGGTCAGGTAAAAGATGTCAAAATTATAAATGATCGCTCTGGGGCATCTAAAGGGTATGTTTTGTTACTGACACTCATGTATGTTCAATAGGAGTTATGGATTTGTCACTTTTGAAAGTCAGGAAACAGCTGAAAAAATTATCAAGAATGAGGTTATTATATTACTTTACTAGCTTTCATATTATAGTCGGAAAAGCTGTTTTTCAAAGATCGTAAACTCAATATAAGTCATGCGATTCGTAGACAGCAATTACTGCCTCGTCCAGGTACGTAGATTGTTCCTAATTTGTTAGACTGTTTTGTCTTCACGTCTGTACACTCGTAACATTGTTTTTTCTTTACTGCTATAGACTTAACAACAGCCTTGTTTATCGCGGGAGGTACTGTACCTTATAGTTATCAAAACACTATGGCTCTATTACCTTTATCTGTTCAAGAGTACTCTTTATTGGCTCAGGTAAGTGAATGAATTGATAAATTATCTAATGTTTAAATTATTGTATGCATTTTTTGTGAGTACGCACACCATCATTAGCCAGTATACTTAGATCCTGTTTATCAGTTGTAGGTAGCACTCATCAAAAAAAGACAATTTCGTTAAACTTTAAAATGTTTAGCAGTACTTACTTATTCCTGTTACCCCTAAGGAAGCATAGGCCTCTTGTTTTCTGTTCTAACCAAGTGCTTTTCAGTTTTTATTTTGTCTGCCTTCTATTCCCAGTTGACATTTCTTTCGAGTTCAACTGTAGAAATGCTACCCTTGCTTTGACAACCCCTGCCGTAACATTACTGATATTTTAATTTTGAATGACTAAAATACAGCCATGATTCGGAACAGCGTAAACATCGAGACAGTTATGAAAGTTCAAATCAACAATTATTTAGTAGATCGAAGTACATCGTGTAAACAAACTTTGATGAGTTAAATCTATATTTTTATTATATGTAAGTTATCATACTATCATTATAGACAATATTGTTTCAATAACGACAATACTAGTTTGTCTGATTACTTCAAAAATTGACAAATAGCTGAATAGTAATTTTTGTTTAATAAGCAGTTTAAAATAGATAATATATGATACTACTGACTCCTACTATATTTCGTATAAAAGAAAATCATATCTCTAATTGTTTGATTTTTTTTATTAACGCAATTTCTTTTATAATGACTGTATTATCGCTTGGTTTTAATTCCTTTTAGACTGCAGCTCCTTACACCACAATGATGCTTCCTCAGCTGGATGGAGGAACAACTATCTACTTTCCTTTTTTAAATCCAACTCTAGCTGGTAACGGATCGCCATTTACACACATTCCACAGCATTCAGTAACAGCAGCACTTCAGCAACAGTTTAATCAAACAGAAAATGCTTCTTGTCTAGCTCCAACAAATGTAGGTCAAGCGACATCAATCAATGCTAGTATTAACAGCATTAACTCTCGACCTCATTCAACACCTGCAGTAATGACAGCAGCAGCTGCTGCTGCTGCTGCAATGGCTGCTGTTGTTCAATGGCCACAACATCCAGTTCATAATAATCAACAACAATCTCAACAATCATGTAATGTAGCAGTAACACATAGTGCTTCACATGTAAACAAAGAGTATTCAATCAATCATTTATCAGCAATCACACAGCATCAATCAACAGTTACAGCTCAACATCCAGCTAATTGGTTTTGGTCACCAGGTGTACAACAAACTCAAAATACAATTTATGGAACAAATCCTCAAACTACCATATACGCTAATGATATATCATCATGTATAAGAGTTACTACATCAACACCAACAATAACTACTTCAAATATTCAACTTCCTCAACAGGTGAGTAGTAATTCAACTTTATCATCATTATTCTCATCATCATTTGGCACTTTTTCATCAATACTACAATTATTACAAAATTCACCTGTAACAGCATCTACTGCAGCTTTATTTAATGCTGCTATTATACAACAACAACAACATAATAATATGAATTTTGATATAATAACTACTACAGCAGCAACATTAGCTGCATTAGCTACAACATTTAATAATAATAATAATTTATCAATAATGAATACAAATATGAATTTAGTAGAACAGATGAAAAAATTAAAAGAAGAGAATAATATTATCACTAATACAAGTGAATTGTCAAAATCAACTACCACTACCACTACTACTACTACTGCTACTACTACTCTTGAAGACGAAGAAGAAGGAGAAGATACTATCAATGATGATATTATTTTAGGGTTATCTTTTAGTCAACCTGCTAAAAAACTACGATATGATATAGAGAAACTGTAAAAAAAAAAAGGAAAATATATATATAAAGATAGACGAATCATTTTGTAACCATTTATATTATTTATTATTCTAACATAATGAGTTGTTTTTATACTTTGTCGAAAGTATATATAAATCATGTAAAAGTTATTCAGATTGTTTTTTTTTATAGAAAAATACATTTTATTATTATTATTAATATTATGAGGTGTCATAAGCATTGAATTCTTTTATTTGTCTGTATTTATCTTGTTTGATTTATTCAATGAAAAATAAAAAATGTTGTTGCATTCGCTAATATAAAGCTGTTGTTGTTGTTGTTGTTGTTGTTGTTGTAAAGAGACTAGCAGTTTAAAACAGATACATACATACATACATACATAAATAAATATATATATGTTTATTGATTTTGAACATTTTTTTTTAAAAAATAATCAATTTATAATATAAAATTAAACTTTGTCTTTTCCTAATTATTATTATTATTATTATTATTATTATTATTATTAATCAATAATATCTTTGTCATTTTATTTTTTTTTGTCTGCTTAATTCATGAAAATATCAAAAACGACCAAAAATTAAAAAAAAAATTAAAAAAAAAAAATAAAAAATAAATTTATCTGATTATGTAACAGCAATATGCAACAAATACAACTTATTTGTATAATCCATTCACTGGATCTAGTCATGAATTAATGTTATTTCATCAAACCAATCCATTATTTACTAACAATTCAACTAGTGATAATAGTACACATTCATCTGGTCTAATGGAATCAGTTGAGGTAGGATGTTTGTTTTTTTTTTCAATGTTTAATTCATTTGCCGTTCGTTCGTTGAGTTATTTGACAAAGAATTAAAAAATTGTTTGATTCAGTTGTTATTGTTTCAAATATTGTTGATAGTGTTCGCGTAAATAATAATAATAATAATAATAATAAGATTAACATTGTGTAATGATGAATAGTTATTGTAATTTGTTTATTGAAGTTTTCGTTTGTTGAGAGAAAATATAAATATATATATATATTAATTCTGTTAAAGTTTTTAATTGTTTGAAATTTTTTTTTATTGTTTATACTACTATTATAACTACTGAATTTATCAATCATTAATTTATTTTATATATATTTAATAATTTATCAAATAATTTCATTTTTAATATCATGTTTAAACATGAAGAATGATCATTGATTGTTATTTGAAAATTTTGCATGTTTATTGAATGTTGTGTTTTTTTTTCTTCTGTTTTTATTCATATGATTAAATTAAAATTATCTCCCCTTTTTTTTTTTAAAAAATATCTGATATTCATTTTAGTCTTTCAATTATAATGGTACTACTACACTAATTGGTCGTCAAACTCAACAATTAGGAAAACAATTCACTGATATTTATAATAATAATAATAATAATCATAATAATAATAATAATCTTCATAATAATAATAATAATACACAAATTGATGGAGCATATTTATCACCATATGCTGCTACAATAACATCAATTTTAGGATTTCATCCACATTCAAATTGTATGGGACAATCCAATTCAATACATTCAATGCAACCAACACATTTACAACATAATTTACATCAAAATCATCAAACAACTACATTAGTATCAATAGTTAATCAATCACATCCTCCTAATAAACTATTTACTGATAATAATTATACTCGTCATTTATCAACTACTATTATGGGAAATCATTTGGTAAGTTTATTTTTAATTTGTTGTATCAGTAATACAAAATATACAAGTCAGTAGTATGTTAAATTTGCTTTATGAATTTACTTATAATAGTACATAACATATGCTCAATCACTGCCTACCTTGAACCTGCAATGTTGTCTGGTGTAGATGTAAGTTGAATAATATCTAGGGTTGACCAAACTAATATTTGGCAAAAATTTATAAAGTCACTGACAACTAGGCTGAGGATGTGAATAAGTGTGTAGACTAATCTAATTGTGATCCACATGATTATCGTTACTAATGGTAAGAGACTTTGTGTGACATATTTAATAATCGTTTCCAATGCATTTAATCTTTGTTTTATTGTAGAATCTGAGTCCCAAAATCTCATAATACTTTATAATTCTTCCATAACCAGTCATATTTTTTTACTACTCATGTGTCAGGTTCTACGTTGCGTATGATTACGATAATGGTGTTACAATGGTGACTTTTTAAAGTTTGACTGGATATTTTCATTTTTATAACTATAATGAGATATATTATTTGTAATATAGTATTATTATTATTGTATCAGCAATTATATTACACGGTTTTTAGCTCTATATTGCTTCACAGCAATGAAACAGCCAATAAAGAGGGAAGATATTTGTCTGTCGCTAGTATTTGATCACAGTTATCGTCAGTGTACTGTTCAGATATGGTGAAACTATTAAAAAAATTGTGCTCAGATTAGTCACAGAGCGTTAAGTAGGAATTGTGAAAGATATTTTACATAGATGATGTCTCATGGGATTATAGTGTGTAGACAATGTGGTCTTTTTTTAAAGAGAATAATGACAGAGTTCAATCTTCTGATTTAGCTAAATTACACTTTAAGGATATTTCGTAAGTATCCTTCTCCTTCAAAATATAAAGCACTACTTCAAAATTGTCTTTTCAGTGATTAATCTAGTCGTAAGAATCGAAGTAAATGAGTGTTTTGACCTCTTCATTTATCTTGAAAGTTTCACCAGACCTGATGGGTCGGTGTCTGAGATTTTAGTTTTCCTATCAAATGATAAGTATACTGAGTTGCAGTTTGCTGTGTATTCCCTCATTCTATAAAACATAACTTCTGAAAGTCGGGTAAATGACCAGACTGTTAACATTTCAACGTATATCTCTTCAAAAAGTCCCTAAAATATGGCGAAGCCACTATCTGAGTAATTCCTAAATTGAAGATTAGGTACCTGGCGAAAATTTACAGATCTAAGTTATTAAATGCTAACTAAATCCTAAAGGAAAGACAAACACTCTCACAAGACCTTTCGTCCAACTTATTCCTTTGCCAGCTAGCATTACTTGTCTAGATAAACGGTTATTAGAAATTTGTAATACTTGACTCATTCGCCTTAGTCGATAAAGCTTCAGTCAGATGATTTTAAGATTGACTGAAGTAGGAAAATTATCCAAAGTCACGTGATAAACAATGTATTTTTTCTTACAATAAAATACTATTAGCTCACAATCAGTTTTGTATAAAGGCTTCCGGTTTCCCATACAATCGCCTGACTATAGCATCGGCAACCAAGGGTGCTTATGTATAACCTCAATCATTCCACGATATTGCCCATCTCTTTATCTGTAGCCTGCCGTGGATAACTGTCTCTGACCTAATGCAGATTGAGCTTAACTGGTTACAGCTTCTCACTAAAACTCCAGGAGTTACATCTTGAAGTTAGTTACTAGTGAGCGACGCTAAAGGATCTAGATAATAAGTGTTCGTGCACGAGACCAAAAGTCCTGAGTTCGATTCCCTCATGCTAAGATATAAGTGGACTTATGAAGTATTTTGGGATTTAAATGAATTCGGAAAATGGTTTGGGCAATAATGTACATCATAGGATGCCAACCAAGTGACAGTGATATAAATGCTAAACTCGCCTGACGAAACACAAAGGTCCCGAGTTCAAGTTCTCATTAGATCATGGGTGTTCACTGTTTAAAATCTTTTACTAGGACGAAAAAAGCTCTTCAATGATCCCTAGTTTTCAGTGGTTTTCCTGGTAAAAACAATATGTGATGTAAACTTTGAAGCTGATAACATCAGCAGTGTACAAAATGTAAAATGATCAAATAGCACTTACTGTTTCCTCTCTCGCTTACCTCAAATTTAGTTAATGTATAACTTTTAGTGATTTGGTGTAATTGATGTGAGCTGTAGAAATACAGTACATGTTAAATTACTTTTCGTCTGTAAAATGTATTAAGAATATTGAGTAAAACCGATACTGTCATCATAAGGTTTTGGAGATTAATGGATTTCATTGTAATCATGGATCGATCAACGTTAGACCAACGTTAGAAACCTGGAAACACTGGTAGGCCGTTTTGTTCTAGTTTGGGACTAATCAACAGTGAGCATCAGCAACCCCACAAGCGGAAACTAAACCTAAGACCCTCGGCCTCGTGCGTGCAAACGCGTAACCTATAGTCGGGTATTTCTAATATGATCTAAAATTACATCACATGTTGTCACCATATCAGACATTTCACTGACAATCGCTTTGTTTTAATCAACGTCTGACAGTCTTTCTATATACAGTTTGATCACTCTAACTATCCTAGTAACTAAACTATATCATTCATTTGTATTGGCCGTTTGTATATCACTACTGATGTTTAAGGCTGAAATCGATTAGTCTCTTTTGGCGTATATGCATCCTTGGCGACAATGCTTTGATTTCGTTGTTAGGCCATAACACTTTTAAGCAGGTGCATCCAACTGATGAGTCCCGAATAGAAAGGAAGGCGCCTCCTAGATTTCACTGATAGCCACCATCTATAGCTGCGTTCAATAACCGATGTCATATTTCAGTTTAGTGTAAATTCCCATTTTTACTTGGAAAAGATTTTCTTCACTTTGTTTGTTCTTTTTACTATATGTCATATTTGCAGTTGAATGCATAGGATTGATCAAACTCTGTCTATCAGTTTATAATAAAACCAGTACATTAAATGACTCAATATTGATCTAAAATAAATAACTAGTTGGACCGAATTAGGTTGTCATGTTCAGATTACCTACTTAATTGAAGTTTATGTGATTAGTGCAATTGATAGTTGGAGATTTTGAGTGAGATATAGCTTAGAACTGACTGCAATAGAATAGATTTATTCGCTATATATCTTGTCTTAGACTTTAAGTATTAAATTATTTTTTTATTTTCATAATGACTTTTTATTTAAAAGTAATTTGATTAGTTTAATAATCAAAAGGAAAGGGGATCTTCTTTCCATTGTATATCAATGGGATGCTTTAATAAATTTCTACAATTTTCATAATTTTCATTACAGTTCACATAATCTTTTCAAGGAGTCTTTGATCATTTCTTATACCACAAATTAGTTTAAAATCTTTGGCAAAAAATAAACATGATCTTAAAATTGATTTAAAAAATTTTAAGATTTTTCAGATCGTAATTTCATTCAGATGGATTATTAGTCATCAGTGAAAAAGTAAAGAAACATAGTTTGATCAACGTTGCTAGATCAACTGACCGATTAAAAATTATCGTTTTATGAAGTTCTTCATCAAGATTTTAAGATGGATAAAAACTATCAATTCAACAGGTTATTTCACTAATATCAGGCTTCTAATTTGTACTTAGTAGCCTGTTACCTCAAAAAAGGTGTAAAGTTTCTTTTTACTAAAATAATCAAGGTGAGTTAAGATCGTTTTTGACAGTTAGCAGCTCTAACAGATTTTATAATTCTCAACCAATCATAATCAACCTCATCCTCAAATCCCAGCATCTCAATTAGCACAACAACAAAGGAGTCAAAGAAAGAACTAACACTTTGAATATAATTTGAGACGATGGAATGAAAATAAGATATAATATGTAGTGATAGTGGGACTAAAGATCTAGGGAAACATTTTGACCCATATCACACGATTATCTTCAATTATAGGTTGTGATTATCTAGTAGACTCCGACCAAACAGCTTACACCTCGTCCATCTACTGACCTCTACAATATCATTGTTTGATCTATCCCAACTTTCTTTCAACTTGAGCCTACATCAGCTAATAGGGCTCGTTGAAATCGGTGATGCTTATTAAATATTTGTGACACATATCTCAACTAACTGAGCCGATGAACATTTATCACTTTATCAATCAATTTACCTACTTCACTTGTTAACTTTTGCTTAATTTCAACATTGCTCTTCATGATACACAAGTAATCCTTTGAAAGCAACTATAATCAAAAACATTCAATCTGATCATTTTGTCTATTGCATTAGGTCAGATATCATAAATGTATAGAAATATAATGTCAGCTTGTTGTTCTAATACAATTGAAATGTAATGTCGCGCACTTCAGAGATTTGTACATTTATGTTCGAGATATTTATGTCTATTAATGGATCACATGATAAACTTGTACAGTTTTCATTGGTTCTACTGATATCCATTTTAATTAATAACAAAAAAATTCTTAACATTAGACTTATTGATATTATTGATTGACGTGTAGATATTTTTAAATTTCTTTAGATGATGATTCACGAGTAAGCTTATGTTAACACAATATAGAATAGATCAGTTCACACGTTGTGTCCTATTAGTTTTCATCAGTCTATTTTATCATTCATTTCATTCTAAATATTCTTATAGATTTGAATTATTACATTGTTGATATTAAGAACTAAATTTCAATCACTTTTTTTCTCATTACAGATATATATATATATATATATATATATATATATATATATGACATGTATACGAATTGCTTCGTTATTATCCTTTTGTCATAAGTTATTGACTATAGATGAATCTCTGTTAATTGATCCCTTTTCAATTGTTGTCCATGGTATTTTCCTCTCCATCGAGTAGATTTTGAAAAGCCTGAAACCTATTTCTGAGGGTTATCCTGAATTCGTTGAGTTTGTCAGTATCCCATAGAAAGGCCGTATTAACCTTCTGTGATGTTGTCCGCACAGTGGTCAACTGCCTCTTGAGTTTCACTTTCATTTTGGCGAACAGTAAGTGGTGATCTGGGGTTATATCAGCTCTTCTCTTGGTTCTAACGTCCTTCATGGTCTTTGTAAACTTTTTATTGATACAGATATGGTCGATTTTGTCCCGTATGGTGTGATCCGGTGAAATCCATGTGCCATTGTGTACGCATTTTTATGGGAATATTGTGTAACCTATGACCAGTTTGTTAGAGGGACATAAGTATGTAAGTCTTTCACCATTTTCGTTCCTTTCTCCCAGTCCATGTCGTCCCATGATGTCTTCATATCTAGTGTTGTCCATGCCAACTTTTGCATTAAGTTCTCCCATAAGAATCGTCAAATCCCTTGATCAGCATCTTTCGCTGATTGACTGCAGCCTCTCTTAGAATCGATCTTTAACGTTGTCATTGTGGTCGTTGGTAGGCGCATAGCACTGGACGACATTCACTGATGCCCTCTTTTTCTTTGTTTTGAAGGATGCTTTTGATGATCCTGAGTGCATGAGATTCTCATCCTATCAATTCCTTTTGTTCTTGTTTAGATAGCATCAATGTATAAGCCATTTTCTTCGTCATAGCCGTAGTATAACAGCATCTTTCCTGAAGCTAGTCCACAAATATATGAATGACAAAATGACCGAAAAGATGATCAATTCTATAGGCGTGTAACAATCCTGATTGCTACATTTTTTAAAATGAAATACATTTGTCTCAAGTCCTTGTGTAAACCTCAACACGTGGATATCATCTTCACATTCAATTGACGAATCCCTAGTAGGATAAATTATCTATTTTAGATTTTTAATGCTAGCTATGATCCTTCTGTTTTAAATTTACAACTTTATTGATCGTTCATATATATATATATATATATATATATATATATATACGTCTACATTTTTCTATATTTTTTGTATAAAATTAGCAAAATAGAAATGATACAATATCTGCAATCGATATGAATTTATCAAATGAACAACATAACAATCTGATATCATCAATTGATCATATACAATCATGTTGTACAACTGGTAGTGCAATTATTCATAATATGACTAGTACACCAATCATATCACAATCTTCATCAATATCATCAGCATTAGCAACAACAGTAACTAAAGCTTCATCAGCAGTATCAGCAATACAAGTTGTATTACCATGTTTGTTAACTACTACAACTACATCATCTTAATATTTAGGTACACTATTTTTTTTTTTAAATAACGTTACATTTAATGGTACTACTAACTAAAAAGAATTTGTTAATTTTTGAAATACAATACAATAAATAGAATGAAATATAAATGAATTAATTTGTAATAATAAGAAGAAAATTGTGAATAAAACAAAAAAGAAGAAAATTTAAAATACATAAAAAAAAAATAGAATAGTTAGTTATGTAATCATCTTACTGTGATGTGTTGTTGTAATTCAGTACAGAGAGAGAAATGAACTACTACTAACTAAGTATGATTATTATCTCCTAACATTATTACTTTTGCTTACAATTTTCTTATTATATTACAAACTAATTCATTTATATTTCATTCTATTAAGTTGTTTTTCTTAATACGAACCTTTTTTCTTTTCTTTTTAAAACTTCATTTATTAGTGTCAATAATATAAGTTAATTTTTTTTAAGAAAAAAAATAAAAATTAAATATATATATATATATATATATATATATATATATATATATATATAGTATTGTCATCTTCTAGTGTTTTTATCTGTTGTTAACAATCTTTTATTATTAATTTTGTCATTATTCTTATTCTGTACTACACATTTAACATTTTCTATTATTCATACAAATATATATATATATATATATATATATATATATGTATATATATAATATTTATTTCATTAAATTTGTTGTTCAGGACACTTTAATGATATGTATTAAATATATTGTGTTGTATTCTTTTTTACTACAGAATATAAACTTATTTAATTAAAATGGAAACAAACAAAGATGATCTGTGTTATTTTATATAAATAAATAAATAAATAATTTTTACAGTACTGTTTAATAAAAATTATTTATCTATGTTTATGCATATAAAGAAGTGCATGTTTAATTAATTACTTCAGTGTTACTTTTTGTTACGAAAAAAAAAAATAGATCTATTCAATTTTTTGGTTTTTTTTCTCTAAACACTCATATTGAACATGTTCAATTCAACTGTGTATTGGTAATGTGATTAAAATTGAGAAGAAGAGTATTAAATTTTAAGTCATATGGAATTTTAATTGTGTTTTAAAATGAATCGGGAAAGTATATATGGCATTCAGAAGGCATTGCATATGATTGATCTCAGAGTCCTATCTAAAGTTAACTAATTCTCATATAGTCATGACTGTCTTGTTGTATAACAACAAGTTCGTCAGCATAAGTTATCTACCTACACATTTGATCAACAGAAGTTTTTGAAACAATAAATATAAATACCTACATTATATATATGCACCCAGATGCATGATGATTTACACTTTATAATATTATCTATATATTTCTATTACGAAATTCCTAAGTTAGTCAGTTTAATGTTGGAAATCACTTTATTTTATTCTATAGATCAATATTTCTATATTTATCGATTTCTATTCATCATAGCATTTTTAAAAGATCTGTCTAAATAAATGTGGTCTAACTTCAGCTTATCTACTCTTTTAATGAGAAAAATTGGGCATAACTAATTTTGAATTACACACACACACACACACACACATTAGGTTAAAAACTTAAACCTTTCCACTTGCATGGCTTCCCCGTTCTCATCCTTAGCTTGAGTTATGTGTAGTCTGATGACAAATGAACACTCATAAATCAGATAAATAAATCCATTTGTTCAATTAATAAAACTAACGGTAGATTTGTGTAGTAATAAAACGATACTAGAAAAATGTGTACACATTGGATGATTCATTCTCTCTAAACCAGAATGCCATATTTTACAGTAATGAGTATTTCATTTCAACAGGTAATAATTTCTCGAATACATAAATGTAGCGGCTATCGATAACGGTAGATAACTGTTTAAACTGACTAAGGAAACTGGTATTAGCAATGCGACTGTTAGTGAGACTCTCGGAAAAATCTACGATTACCAGTCATTCTGACTTCAAGAGATCGGATTCATGGCCGGTACACGCTAAGATACAGTTTAATTGGCATCCTGTCAAACTTCAGTCATTAACCATCTGCAAGCAATCTGAATGACAAGTTCGTGCAAGTTCACCAGATTTTAATGAAGTTGAAAAGGCTATAGGCAATCTAATGTGAGGGAATGCATCAGGAAATGTTGAATTAATCTCCAAGATTTTTAAGGATGGTAGTCCAGTTTCGGCAGCCAGACTAACTAGGATCTTAGCTAGAATTCGGGAACTAGACGCAGTCCTGTCTGATTCTTCTCAATCGCTAATCGTCCTAGACTAAATCCCGTGAACAGGACTCGGAGAAATCGAGGTAGTTTCAGACCCTGACGTGGATATACAGACTAAATGTTCACACTTCGTAAGGTCCTAGGACATACACATATTTCTCAACGTCTGACAATGGTTGTTTTCCTTGACCTTAGAACGACGTTTTGACTCTGTTGACCGTGAGGCTCTGTGGTAGTTTCTATCATTGAAGGGCATACTTAAGAATTACATTAATCTTTTACAGGCTTTTCTATCGAGGGAGACTGCTGACTGAGTGAGCTTATGGCGGACTGTTATCGGAAGTGACTACTTCATCAGCGCCTGAACTGGTAATAGACATTGAAGCAGTTGAGCGTGTCGACGGCTTCAGTAACTTCGGGAGTCTCCTCAGTGCTGACGACCTGGTGTCTGAAGAAATGTCAGCACAAAAACAAATGGCGCGATTGGCTTTTGCCAACTTACGTCATTTATGGCGCAGGCGAGATATCCGTTTGCCGACTAAGGGATGAGTATACTGCGCGTCAGTTCGCTTCGTCCTACTTTATGGCTATGAAAAACGGTCAGTAAGAGTAGAGGATGTTCGTACGTTACTAGTATTCGGTATCGGTGTCTTCGAAGCATTGCTCGTGTATCCTTGGACTACTGACTAAGCAGAGCTGGTGTTAGGAAAAGGGTAATACATGAGGATGACAAATCAATTGATGAAGTAGTGAAACTTCATCACCTCAGGTGACTGGGACATGTGTTACGTATGCCCGACCGTCAATTGCCCCAGAGAGAGATGAAAGGATAAAAAAAAAGCTAGGTTCGGTCAAACTGGTTTGAAATGGCGTGGATAAATCCATTTTTGCCTTCCTCCAAATACTAAGCTTTTAAATTTTACATAATTCTTGTTTTTTTTATTTCACTGGTTTGTAACTTCTTGATCCATATATTCGACTTCTAATCTTTTCCATTACCAATAATACTGCTACTAGCTCTACCACTATGGAATTTGAACTAATAATTAAATCTCTCTACGTTAATGAAGTATGTCAACCTGTACTGATGTACATGTGTACTAAGTCCTATATTTCAGCTGACTGACAAAGAGTGATCTATCAAGCTTTGATCAACTTCTCTACTCTTATCTGTAAGTAAACAAATAGGGATATCCTTAATTTTGTTTATACAATACTCGATAGAATACAACCAAAACTGTCATGTGATCAGATCGATAACATATCATCCAAGCTGTAACTAATGCTTTATTGCTTATTCATCAATAAAATCTTTGATCATCATATCATTTCGAATAGATTCAAATTTTGGGGGGAATATCAATCCCTTCAAGAAAGTTACGATCTATTGTTTACAAATGGCAGTTTACACGTACTATTTTAGTCAAGGCTTGACTGAACTTTTTATCCAGCCCATAACATAACAATAAATCTGATTAATTAAATTTGATTGTAAACTAAACAATTTGTATGATGATTGTACAATGAATTTCTGGTGAGTATTTTTGTAATAGCCAAAGTAAGCAAAGTAGTTCTGAACAGATAGCTCAAAATCACTGAGACACAGAATTAGATGATTATTGACCAAACTGTAGATTTTTATGATAGTTGAAAGTGATCACAGTGAGAATTATGTTCATAGTATTAAAGGAAAACAGTGTGAGTCAATAGGTTTAACATACTGTATACAATCATTGTATTATATTCTTTAAAACAAAAAATGACAATGTGATACTGAATCATTTTTTGTAATATTTGAAATTTGTAAAAAATTCTCTTAATAAGGACAAAGCTTGACACTGTCAGTATTCTTTAATTAGTATTTCATAAATTAGATGTGATAAATAAGTTCATAAATTCTTATTGCTTCAAGATTGGGTTGCATCGGCACCTGAACTAGTGATAGGTAGTGAAGTAGTCGAACGTGTAGACCGCTTCACTTATCTTGGGAGTCGCATCAGTGCTGATGGCCTGGTGACTGACGAAATCTCAGTACGGATACAGAAGGCTCGATTGGCTTTTGCCAACCTGCGTCACTTATGGCGAAGGCGAGATATCTGTTTGCTGAATAAGGGGCGAGTGTACTGTGCAGCAGTTCGCTCCGTCCTACTGTACGTATGCGAGACTTGGCCGTTAAGAGTAGAGGATTTCCGTAGGTTACTGGTTTTCGATCATAGGTGTCCTCGAAGCATTGCTCGTATACCGTGGGACAACCGAGTGAGCAACGCTGTTATTAGGAAACGGGTGCTGGGTAAGAATGGCAGATCAATAGATGAAGTAATGAAACTTCATCAGTTGAGGTGGTTGGGATATGTGCTGCGTATGCCTAACCACCGACTGCCTCGACGAGCTTTATTTTGTGATGTAGGAGTAGGTTGGAATAAAGTTAGGGGCAGCCAGACCAAAACATGGTAGAAATGCATGAAGTCACTGACAAGTGGACTGAGTCATGTTGGTAGATGTAGGTTACCTGGTTGGGGTCCGCGAGACGATAGTAACCGATGGTTAGAGACTTTGAACGACATGGCTCAGAATCGTTTGCAATGGCACAGGTGCATCCACTTTTTGTGTTCTATGAAATTCTAAGCTTCTGCATCCCTCGTAATCTCTACCTTTCTCCTTCTAAATTTATCTTACTGAATTATACTTCTCGAATCATATCTTCGCTCCCTAATCTTCTCTATTGCTGCTTATACTTCTATTATTGCTATTACTTTTGGATTTGAACGTACAGTTGCGTCTCTTTGCTTATAAGGTATGGCAACCTGAACTGATATCCTGACGTGCGAAGTT